ACAGGTGAACGAGCTACTAGTACCGTGCTTTGCTTTATTGATGCCACGTAAATACTCTTGTTCTTCTTTTGGGTGTTGGAAATGCGGTGGATGCAAAAGTAGGCAGAGTCAGGGTACGATGCTGCCCAGTCCGTCGTTATCCGATTCCCAGGGCTTGACCTGACAAACTTGTGACATCAACTGGATTAAAACAGCATTATGAATCACTGAAAGTGCCCAGGTGCTTTGTGGGTTGCAACATGCAAATTGCTCGGCAGGCTCACTCTTTTTACTAGGTACGCTGACAGCCTACCACGTACATGGTTATCAAGTTTTATATAATAAAGAGCAAATATATTTTCTTACAAGCTACCTAAATATATGCATTAAGTGAAATGATTAAGAGGATAAGCGCACCTGGTAAAAAGAGTGAGCCCGCCGAGCAATTCACTCCGATATACTCCGTAGCACTGAACATGTACAAGTGCGGGTGGGTGCAAACGCCGTATCCACGGTTTGCAATGTGCACATAAAGGACAGGAAGTGTGATAGACATGAAAGTCAGCATGGCCCATGAAGTGATTTTCTTTTGTAAGGCGTTTTTCATATGCCATGCCATTGACTTGATGTTGAGCTGGTTTTTCGCATTTGGCATGCGCAAAGCTGCAGGACTTAGGAAGAGCGAATCAGGTGGCAGAATTCATGCAACATTGAACCCGTTTGGGCGGAAGCCAAGTCGCGAAAATTTTATGGGTCGCGCTTACATGACTGGTCCAAAGCGAACCTAAGCGGCCCAAAGCTCTGCATAAGCGCAACCGCCAGCTGCAGGCTCGAGGCTGTCGCAGCAGGGCAATTTTCCGAGGGTGAAGGCTTGACTCTTGACCTCGTGCAATCTGCCTCCGCCAACATCAGCCAATTCGAAAGAACCATCACAACCATGGCTGCAGTAAGTCATGCCGCAAGCTCCGCCGCCAAATCGCAACAGCTGGGAAACTAACTGTTTTTTGTCTGCAGCCATTAGTGACCGTCTCCGAATCCAAGGACCTTCGCGGTCTCAACCTCATCGCCGCTCACTCTCACATTCGCGGCCTGGGCGTCGATGCCACCAGTCTCGAGCCCCGAGCCGCGTCGCAAGGCCTGGTTGGCCAAGAAAAGGCCCGAAAGGCTGCTGCTGTTATCCTGCAAATGATCAAGGATGGCAAGATTGCCGGCCGTGCGGTCCTGATTGCCGGCCCTCCCAGGTAGGAATGCCATGGACGGGGGACGAGACGAGACAGCGTGTGTACAGGGGAAAAGTTTTTCTTTTTTTGTTTTGCTGACGCCGTCTCAACCTTTTAGCACCGGCAAAACGGCCATTGCCATGGGAATGGCGCAGTCTCTCGGCCCCGATGTTCCCTTCACTTCGCTTGCTTCGTCCGAAATCTTCTCCCTCGAAATGTCCAAGACCGAGGCCCTCACGCAGGCCTTTAGAAAGTCCATCGGTGTCCGCATCAAGGAGGAGAGCGAAGTCATGGAGGGAGAGGTTGTCGAGATCCAAATTGATCGCAGCGTCATGGGAAGCACCAAGCAGGGCAAGCTCACCATCAAGACCACCGACATGGAAGCTGTTTACGACATGGGCAGCAAGATGATTGATGCCATGACCAAGGAGCGCGTCATGGCTGGTGACATCATCTCCATCGACAAGTCTTCGGGCAAGATTACGAAACTGGGCCGGTCGTACGCGCGATCCCGCGACTACGATGCCATGGGCGTCGACACCAAGTTCTTGTCGTGTCCCGACGGCGAGTTGCAGAAGCGCAAGGAAGCCGTGCACACTGTTACCCTGCACGAGATTGATGTCATCAACTCGAGGACGCAGGGCTTCCTTGCCCTCTTCTCTGGCGACACTGGCGAGATTCGAAGCGAGATTCGAGACCAGATCAACACAAAGGTTGGCGAGTGGAAGGAGGAGGGCAAGGCTGAAATAGTCCCCGGCGTCCTGTTCATTGACGAGGTGCACATGCTTGACATTGAATGCTTCTCATACATCAACCGCGCCCTCGAGGACGACCTGGCCCCCATTGTCATCATGGCCAGCAACCGCGGCAACTCCCGCATCCGGGGCACCGACTATCGCAGCCCCCACGGCCTGCCCATCGACTTCCTCGACCGAGTCGTCATCATCAACACCCACCCTTATGCTTCGGAAGAGATCAAACAGATTCTGTCCATCCGCGCACAGGAGGAGGAAATCGATGTTTCACCCGACGCCCTGGCCCTGCTCACCAAGATTGGCCACGAAGCCGGCCTCCGATACGCCAGCAACCTCATCAGCACGTCACAGCTGGTTTCTGCCAAGCGACGCGCCAAGCAAGTCAGCGTTGAGGACGTCCAGCGCAGCTTCCAGCTATTTTACGACCCCGCACGTAGCGTCAAGTTTGTGGCCGAGTCTGAGAAGCGTCTGATTGGCAACGATGGCGCCGTGGACTTGTCGGTGACGAATGGCTCGGCTGCCGCCACGGAGAGGATGGATCTTAGTTAGGATAATTGGAGAGCGAGATGAATTTGCTTTTTTTTTCTTGGCAGATGAGGGCTGGATGGCGTTTTCGGGGCAAAAACTTTGATGCCGAGGAAGTTGGGCTTACGTTACCCTCTGTTTTTGTGTGTTGTGCGTCGTGTATAGTAAGATTTGGCAAGGAAGGCCTAGATAGACCCCATCAAATCACGCATATTAAATAAATCCCGGCATTGTTTTTTTCTTTAAATTGCAATTTTCCCTTTTCCCGTGGTCCTTGGCGTCGGATGTCACAGACGAATGGCACTCTGGATGAGGCAGCATGAACAAAGACTTGAAAGTTTTACCATGACAAACCAGCGTAACGCGTCGACAGGACGTAATTTATTTCGTTTGTACCATAATCTCAATCCACCCTCAGTAGCAAAATTCAATATCCCTGTGTTCAGCCAAATAATCCCCAATCAAAATTCCATGCTGTCATAACCGTCTCCATCCCAAAAGCGCAGGAACATGAGTGTCCAAGCCTCGTAGCCATTGACACCAAGTCCTGGACAACCAGTCAGTGTCCGCCGCATACAACTACACATCTCGAAACACTTACTTTTTTTTTCTTTACTCGGCGTCCTGCTTGACACGCTTGGCCACGGGTTCATCCTGGTCATCATCATAGTACTGCTCCTCCTTGACGGAGATTTGGTCGTCAATGTCGTCGAATTTGGCAGGCTTGGCCTTGGGAGCGCGAGTCTTGCGCTTCGGCGTTGCCTTGGTGGGCGTTGCCGGGACGCTGCCGTTCTTGGTGTTCTTCTCGGGAGAGTCTTGGGTGCGGCGAAGCTTCTGGATGTGCTGGCTGAAAGGGGCGTTAGCGGTGGATGAATCAAGTCTCGTGGAGACCAAGGCAGTGAAGATTTGGGGGCAAGATGAGAGGGAGCGTACTTGACGCCGTTGAAGGTGGTCGTGAAGCCCTGGGATTGCATGTGCTCGGCGACTTGGACGAGGACGTCCTTGCTGGGCTTGGCCACTTCGATCATGGCGAGGAGGAGGCCGAAGTGGGAATGCTCGTCCCATTTGTGGGTGCTTAGGGCGCGAGACATGATGAGGGTGGAAAGGGTGAATCTGCGTCCGAGGCACGAGATGAAGAAATATGTGTGGTTGAAGATGGTTGATGGTTACAGGGCGGGTGATGTGTACAAGGCGGCCCGGGGTGATGTGTAAAGGAAAGGGAGTGGCAGATGGAGAGGGGGAAAAAGTGAACAGTTATATAGTTGCAAAGGTGAGTGACGGTATAGAGAAAAAGTGAGCAGCTTGGGGAGTAAAGGTTATGAGCGAGGACGAAATGATGAGAAACTCAGCCAGAAGTGAGCGTAGAGCTCACCACCACGTTGATTCAAAACAAGGAACAATAAAAAAAAAGGGAAATTCACCGAAGAGCACTCTCTGTGAAAGAGTACCCGCGAGCACGCAGCTCGTTCATGATCCCGGTGATTTGCTCACTCGTAAAGTTGACTTGGTTGAACACAGCCAGGAGGATATCCTCATGGACACCCTCGTCCCATTTCATGATCTGGCGGGGCATCTTGATGTGAAGCAGATGAAAGACGGGCGGAATGTAAACGAATAATAGAGGTAGGGGGGTTGTGAAGGGTAGAAAATGTGAAAAAGGAAGAACGGGCGTGGAACGGGGATGATATAAGGCTGAGATGTGAGAAGAGTGCAGCTGTGAGGAGAGGTGAGAGTGTAAGGGCAGATGCAATCCGTGGCAGATTACATTTACCCACCCAGAAGTATACACGAATATATTGGGGTATAATGCGCGACAGCCAGGTCCTTGACCTGGTGAAATATTTTTGCCTCCCACTGTACAAGGACAAGAGGTGAGTGCAGCGTGAGCGTGGGCTGCCATGGCTTGTGTGAAGAATGAGTGCAGCTGTGATGAGGAGATGAAATTGCAAGTCTCACCGAATGCCCTCCCAAGTAACTTCGTGCTTTCGGGCCTTCATGCGGGCCGCAACATCTTTGCGAATCTCAGCGTTCATGGCATTCGCCTCGGTCCCGGCCTCGTAAAAGGCCACCACAAGGTCGTGGAGGAAGTTTGGGTCGTTCCAGTGGCCGCCGGGTGCCATTGTGTCGTAGCAAAAGGTTGTGATGAGCTGGGGGCGTGGCAGACGGTGCGTTGCAAGGGGCAAAGTTAAAGGGAGGTGTTGAGTTGAAGACGAGTGGTCTTTTTGCAATGTTGGGGATGCGGAAGAGGTTTGGTTGGAGGCGGATGGACGGCCGTCATGAAAACGGCGTTGCAGGTGACGGCAAACAGTGGCAGTTCACAACCAGACCCGCACAGCACATGCCAACTCGCCACTCGCAAAATTATTATACACTGCTGTTTTGTACATGCATGTCGAAACAAAGATTACAACACCAAGCCCAAGAATAAAAATGATGGACCATGATCCCATCAGCCTCCGTCATAACCCCGTTGCCTTGAAACCCAATGACGTTCAACATCAAATATCTATGTTTTTATACATCATACCTCCTCGTCCCCATAGCTATAACTTTGACAGCCGTTAGTACGAGCATCCTACGGTATGAGACTGGAGAACGTACTTGTCATCTTCTTCTGGATAATCAGACTCCGTGGCGCCGTTGTGTGCTGCCAGTGCTAGTACGGCTTCGTCGTCGAGCGGCTGTTGCTGTTCCAGCTCCTGCGTATCTAACCTTTGGCGCTTGGTGGGAGGTTCCTCTGGCGCGTCAGCATCATCGTCGCCGTCCTGTTCTACTACCGGCGTCCCGTCTGCAGCGTCTGTCGTTTCCGTCGCAGGCGCAGTCGCCAGTGCTTCTACTGGCGGTGTAGTGAATTCTGGCGTTGTTTCTGTGATGGACTCTGACTTGAGAGGTTGCGGCGGTGATGGTGGCGGTGGTGGTGGTTGTTGTAGTGATTGTAGTGGTGGCGGTGGTGGTGATTGTAGTGATGGTTGTTGCAGTGGATGTTGTTGTTGATGTTGGTATTGTTGTTGTTGTAGCTGTTGAGCTCTCTGCTGGTCTGCGGTATCCTCTTGCTTAAGAGTTATGCTGGGAGCATGAGCAGCATGAGCGGCGTGAACAGCGTGAACAGCGTGAACAGCGTGAACAGCGGCGGCGGCGGCGGCAGAGGCAGAGGCGGTAGAAGCGATAGAGGCAGGGGCAGGCAGGGAAGCAGAAGCAGGACCGATTCCTCCGTCTACGGGCGACACGGCTTCGGTTTCAGGCTTCCTCGGCCGGCCTCTGCCCGGACCTGGTCGTCGAGTGATGGGGTTCAAGGTTGGGTCAACACGACGAGACAACTCCGGTGCAGTGCCGTTTGCCTCGGCCTTGTTTTGAGACCTGCGCAGACCCTGAAAGTGTTGACTGTGGCTAATGTCAGTACGGAACGGCAACATTGAAATCGTCAGTCCCATCAGGGCGCGTAGCAGATTGGGACATTTACAGCCTGGCATGGCCTCACTCGAGGCGGCTCTTTAGTGTCGCGACCACCAGGCAGAGTCGCATTGGCTGCACCGGGAACCAATTGCAGTCGCATGACACCCAGCTCAGAATAACGCGAGGCGAGGCGAGCCATTGACATATAAAGCAGTTGACGGCGACAGCAAGGCGCATCAGACATACCGACATCCCTCATTGGTGAAGCCGTAGCCCAAGGTTCGCATGTGGTTGCCAATGGTGGTCCATTCCGCTCCACTGATGACACCAATGTTTTTGACGGACAAGATGGTGAAGAACAAGTCCTTGTCTGCACGGTCGTTCCAATTCTTGACGTTCATGGTGCCTCCGAAACGGCCCAATAGGGTGGGCCAGCGTGGTCGCGAGAGATGGTCTACAATGTTCAGCGGTACAAGTCGCGAGCGTGGTTCTGCACCGAGCCGCGGATAGACCGTGTTAGGAGGCGGGCTGGATCGGTGCGAGAAATTGGTAGTGAGATGGATGGTCGAGGGAATCTGGAGCGCGCGGAGGGCTCCGTGCCCCCAGCGGGAGGTGGAGCCGACGCCGGCTTGCGGACCAAAGATGTTCCGGTTGCAGGCGGACCATGGTGGCTCATGGTGATTTGTCTACCTGTCGCTGCGGCGGCAAGAGGGAGCGCGAGGAAGTGTGAATAAAAAATAGCTGGTCGTGACGGATTTTAAAAAGTTGTTTGCTAAATACATTTTCGGGACAATTTCACGAATCGACACGGACATGTAGTGGTACATGTAGCCTGTGGTGAGGCCGATGCTTGGACTTAGCCGGAGTTGAAACGGTGTTTAGCCGGCTGTTGTGTTGAGCTCAGCTGCCTGGCAGCCCCAAAACCCAAGCGGCAGCGCACTCACCGAGTACGGCTTGACGACAATCCATCCTTTTGCAAGTAAGCACCGCCAATACACGCCAGCATAGGCGTACCACGTCTCAGTCCGCAGTCTATCGTGGCGATATTTTCGCAATTGATCTCGTTCAAACCCCCCTTTTCTTTGCGTGAGACCACCAGATAGACGCAACCACTAGTTCTACAATCGTATCTTGCCACCCTATACCATCCGTACACCTAGAATTCCATTCCCAAGCTCTGGGACCATGACATGCAGCCAGTCGCCCAGCAATACTAGTACTAGTACTAGTTCCATCCACCTCGGTAGGCAGCTGACAAATGCCTGGCACCTCTTCACCACCGACGTCAAGGTGGCTCCGTGGCGGTGTACGAGACGGTGCAACGCGGCCTGTCCATCCCAACGATTAGTCAGTCACCTGCCACCAAGTTGGACAAGAAGAAGTGCGAGTGCGAGACCAGCCAACACGAAGCACCAGGTACGTACCTTGCACGTGAGTTCGCTCCTTGGACGTGGAAAGTGGCCCAGAGTTCCCGCCAAAATTCGCGCCCCCCGTCGCGTCTCCCAAGCACCTCACCCCATCCCCTCCAAGATGTTGATTGGGGATACGGCCGAGGCGCGACCATAAAGACCACAATAATGACTCCCAATGGTTTTAAAATGTCTTCTTTATATAGGCACAAATTTTCTGCATCTTTCAGGCGTTTCTGGAAACGAAAATACAACTCGTCGCACGTCTTCCACCATGGTGATGATTTGCTGCCTCTGCCCCTCTTTTGGGATGACGCCGTCGCTGCCTCAGCCGACCAGACACCATCGGTGTGATGGGCGTGTGCTGGGGCCCTCTGCGCTCCAGGTCTGACGCATCCCTTGACCAAACGTGGCCATCGGTTCTGGGGAGAGATGCAAAGAAAAAAAAAGTTTTACGAGCCGTCTCCAGTGCGTTGCGACACTGTGGCAGACACTGGGATCTTTTTCCATCTATCGAACTACATACCACGGCCAATTCTCTCGGACCAGCAACCGAGTAATTGGCTAATTGTTCTCATATGGAAACCAGAGAGATAGCGACATGGTAGAACCGCTGGCACAGAAAACGGCTTGCCAATCGAGGTAGAACTTGTGGTGGCTTTCGCCTGCGTATCATGGATGGGTCCGCCGGGGCTGGCGGAATGAACTGCAAGGTTCCAAGGCCACCGCAGCACACCCCCCCTCGGCCTTTCTTTTCTTCTTGCTTTCTTTGGATTGAAGAATGAGTCACACTGGTTTCAGTCCATGCCAGAAAAGCCATCCCTGTCGATGGGATTGCATATTGCAGTTATATCGAGACGTCACGACGTTCAACTGGCCTTGCGACAACGATGGACCTGAACTGTGCGACGGCACTAATTGGCACGGGGCACACTGCCTGTTGCTGCAGTAGCAACGGCGACAACGACGGCATAAAGGGGCCGTGCCTGACGTGCGGCCCATGAACTGGTAATGCAGTGCGACAGACGGCATGTTGATTGCAGTCGATTTTGTTTCCACAATCAACAGCGTAACGAGGTGCAATCTGGAGATGGTTTTGCAGTCGGTGGCTTCTCCATCTGTTGGCTGTGATGGTAGTGGAGACCTGGCCGCTGCTGCATGCACTTTACGCGCTGTGCAGGCACCTGTGCCCTGACTCTGACTGGCTGCCACCATTGGGCGCTGTAAAGTTGCCACTGTGCCTCCAAGCTGCCTGGCGTCCCCACTTGAGCACCGTCCAAGTATCCTTGCCCACCCTCGACTCCATCGACATCCAAATCCCAACATCCGGCATCCAGCATGCATCCCCATTCCCCCAATGGCTGCGGCACCAGGCAACCATGCGCCTGGGAACCTCATCTCAGACTAATCATTCAGACGCTGGATGCCAATTCGAGCCCAGATGTCCACCAGCGGCGCCATGGCCCGGCGTCGGTTCCTGGATTCCTGCATCCAGACACCAATTGTACACCCCCCTTCCCCCCCCGTCAACACCATTCCCATGCCCCCTTCATCAGATATTTGTTTGTTGCCCGCACGCCTCCGTTTTTGCCTGATGTCGATGCCTTTTTAAATGGAAACTTGTCCCCAAGGCCATATTTTCTCACCCTTTCCTCCGACCACATCATCATTCGTACCAACCGTCGTCATCTTTTGGCCTTGGTCTTGCGCAAGGCATGCCGCAACTATTCGCATAGCAAAGACCTTTCTTCAACCCCCAAGACTTTGGCATCGGATCGCTGTCTCGGCTGGTGACTAGACTTTGACCACCCATCTTCGACACATCTCGCCGAACAGGTCTCGTAGTAGCGCCGATACACGTTCAACCTTGACTCACCAGGACTGCTATACGCTTTTGGTCTGCTTGTCTCGGCCAATCTTGGAACCCATCTTGGGCTCGGGTGTCGCTTTTCCAAGCTGCCTGGTGTCATCTCGCAGCGGGCTATATCTACTGCTCCTGCTTCCGCCCATCATTCACCTGCCCTGCGCCTGGCTGCTTCTCGTCAGATCAGAACGTCTCAATATAACACCAACCGCTTCACATACTCACCGACAGTCTCAAATTCGCCAAAATGTCCCCCAACAGTGATAATGCCATGGCTCGATTCCTTTTTGCCATCTTGAAGCAAAAGAATCTCAAGGATGTTCGTCTTTGCTCCAAATTATCCCTGTCCTGTGTGTGTGTGTGATGGATGCACTAACAGCCATTCAAGATTGACTGGAACCAAGTCGCCCAGGATCCTGTTCTGCTGCAGCCCATTACGAATGGACATGCTGCCAGAATGAGGTACTCTCGCTTCCGGGCCACCGTCACTGGTCATGAACCCCAGAAGCGTGGCCGCCATGGTGAAAAGGATCGAGTGTCCAAGCCTTCCAAAAGGGACCATGCGTCCAAGAAGGACGCCATTATCAAGTCGGAGTCTGGCGTGAGCCTTGCCTCTCTCGCTCAGGTATGTCCCGGGACACCGGTTTCTGGAATCACAGCCGTGAGCACCGCTAACACCTTAGCAGTACTCCCCAGCCTCGCTGCCATCTCCGTATCTGGGTGACAACGATGACTTGAACGCCCGATTCCTCACACCCTGTAGCGACGACATGATGTCCATCCGGCCTGCCGTCATCGAGAAGCGCCGACACCGAGACTCCAACGCCTTCTCCCCCATGATGGACAACAACTCGGATTTCTTCACAGATTCCGGGAGTCTCACAAACTCACCGGCATTTTCAGCCTTTGATGCTGCCTATGACCTGGGAAGCTACAGCACCGCAGCTGTCGATTTCCAAAGCCACGACCCATCCGACCTCAGTGGTCCTCAGTCGGTGTTGGACTGTGGCCAGGAGTGGAACGAGCGCTTCCATGACCCCCAGCTTTTTTGATACCCCGTGGAAGCTGCAGATTCCATGGCGGGATGGTGTGCCTCTGTCTTTTTTTAAAACTAATGGCGTGTGGATGGATGAACTTTTGAACTTGCTGTATGACTTATGACAAAATTTGGCCGAGATGAATGCCGCTGTGATGAATTTTCTTCTTCAGTCGGTTGGCCTGAAAATGGAGTTGGGGATTTGGCAAATTGTATACTAATAGCATTATTCTCCATGAGAATGCAATACGATGACAAAGTCGAGGAAACGATAGCTGTGGCTGGAGCTGGCGATGCTCCTGATGTAAAAGTGCATTCCTTTACCGTGCTAGCATTCGTGTTTTCCTCTACTGCGTACGATTGAGACGGTCCCTGGGCTTTGACGGCGCATTTGATAACCTTGCCGGTCATGAAGAATGTGTTTGCACAACTCACTTTCAATTCACTTTCGGTTGGCCTCCCTCCTCCCCTTGGCGCCCTACAATAACCACACCCTCTCGCTCATCATGTGCATTCAAGCTTTCTTTTCTCCTCCCTCACAACCAAACTGTGAAATTTGCGCTGCCGCAAAACATCACATAAAGCTGACTTGTACGCCTTTGAGCTGACCACTTGACAGCCCAAGCCGTCATCCGCGTATCACCACACCGTCAACACTCGAGAATCGGTCTGTAATCAACTCCAATGGGAATTTCACGGCGACTCTGCTAACATTTTGCCAGCCATCATGCCTGAAACCCCCAAGAAGAAGGAACCCACTGCCTCCGAGGCCATGTTTTTTTTTGCCATTGTGAAGCATACTCGCAACAAGGCGGACATTGACTGGAGCGCCGTGGCCGCGGAGCAGGGTTTCAAGAACGCAGAAGTCGCCAAGGTATGTTTGTCCCTCATTTTCCCATCTGCATGAGCCACGCAAAAGACTACCGTGCCGGGATGCTGACGGGGAGCAGGTCCGCTTCGGCCAGGTCAAGCGCAAGCTGGGCATAACCACCAACACCGACACGCCTACTGCCTCTCGCACACCTGTCAAGAAGGGTACTTTTGCAGCCGACACTCCCACCAGGGTCACGAAGAGCAGTGGCCGGGCGGGATCCAAGGGGAGGGCCAGGGGAAAGGACGTCAAGGTGGAGGGCGAGGACGACGACGACGAGACCGTGGTTGGGATGAAGAATGAGCATCTGGATGCCGAGCTGGAGGCTGATGTTGGGTCGTTTTTGACTGAGGAGGCGTCTTTTATGGATGAGGAGGAGCCTACGGATCCGTTTTAGATGCTGCTGCGCGTGTCGTGGCGGTGGGATGTGTAGGTGTTTGATGAGACGCTTGCGCCGCGTGAATGGGAGTGGACGATTTTGCTTTTTCTTTTTTTGCAGGGATTTAAAGGACTCACAGCTGAGAAGAATCGATGAATAATGTCTTGAAATCAGCGCGGTGCACTGCGAATATCCCATATGCTGTGACATTTGTATAAGTGAGTGACGGCAAGGCTGCCACATGTGCTGACAGGGCTGTTGGTTTGCGTACAATCCACCACCGTGTATAGATGCTGATATTGGCTGCGGACTACTCGAGACGAGTGTTTACGCCGTTTCTGCGTTTGTACGTGCTTCTGCTGCTGCTGCTGCTGCTGCATAATACGCAGTGTTCTCCTCGAGCCGTTGCCGTGCTCTCAACTGACCATTGCTCACCTTGTTCTCACACTGGTCGCTGGGCAAGGCAAGCCAAAGTTCAAGTATTTAACCTATTCCTCATCTGACACTTGCATACCCTTCTCTAACAATTCACAACCACCCATTCTCGGACCGCACTTTCATCAACTCTCACAACCGTCACAAACAGCGCCTTCTCATTCAACACCAACCACAGCTCCCAGCAAGCCATCAAGACAAACCCGACTCAACAAGCGTACGTTTTTCAAAAATCTTGCAAATATTCCCATCTAACAACGCGCAGAAAAAAAATGCCGCGCAAAGCCAAGGCTGCTGCTGCCGGCGGAGAAGGAGAGGCGCACACCGGCCTCACAGACGGCGAACTGCGCTTCATCAAAGCCGTCTTCGATAACATGACGCAGAAGCCCGACGCGGACTGGGACAAGGTCGCTACTGATCTGGGCCTCAAAGACGCAAAGTGTGCCAAGGAGCGTTTCCGCCAGATGTCTGTCCGGCACGGCTGGCGGGAGCAGCAGCCGGCCCCGGGCAACCCAAGTCCCCGCAAGCCTGGCAAGAATGGTGCCACGGGGCCGTCGGGCGATGGAAAGATTACGAAACGGGGCCCGAGGACACCCAGGAAGGTGAAGAAGGAAGAGGCTTCCGACGCCGGGGAGGACGATGAGGTTGATCTCATTGGGGGCGGCGACGATGGCGGCGAGGCCAAGGCGGAGGCTGAAGCAGACGTTGAGATTTGAGACATTGGGATTGGAATCCGACGACGGATTTAGTTTATGATGGGAGATTTTCAGTTTTACGGGCTGCTGGTGGAATGGTATAATGGAGCTGAGCTAAGTTGATGCGAGTTGATTCAGGGGTAGACACGAGGACACGGATTCCATGCTGGCTTCAAAATCAGAATCGAAGCTATATTATTGCAGTTGACCACTCGTTACGAGTGTGACCTACAGCGTGATGGACGAGGCGTAGATTTTGCATGTCCATGGCGGGATAAGCTGTTTGGTGCTTTGGCGAACAATAGCACCACTCCAGTTTCCAGATGACAAGACATGTTTAATCATCCAATGAGGCCAGACCTGAGCGCATCTAGTCAAAAAGTAAGCCCGCCAAGCAGCTCACACGTGGTGCTGTCCGCTCACTTTCTTCTCACTTTACCCGTTTACCAGCCCGCCTTGCTCTATGTGCCTTGCCAAAACAAAAGGCCGACAAGATTCTTAACTCTGCAGTCCTTTTTAACACTCCTCCATCATCCTCAGCTTTCACAGCATTTCCCTTGCTACATCAAGTTGAATCACCGAGTCTGCCCGTCCTAGCAAACCTCGTCAGCTCTCCTCAAGTTCCAACTAGTACTTACCAAGTCCACCCAGCAACTTGCAAAAATGCCTGGCACCCAGGATCCCTCCGAGCAGGTCAAGTTCCTCGTCTCCTGCATCGGACATACCAACAATGGCCGGGTTGGTGGACACGTTCTGTCTGACCCCTTTTCCCCAGCTAACATGTATTAGCCCGACTTTGCTGCCGTTGCCGAAGAGCTTGGAATCGTCACCAAGGCTGCCGCGTACGTGCTGCTGCAAAAACACCCCCTGTTTCCATTGTCACGTCTCACGATCCCAGCTGACCACGCCAACAGGCAAAAGCGGTACGAGCGCATGCTCAAAGCCAATGGAGTCAGCGGCACCAAGTCGCCTACCAAGACTGCCGACGATGGAGCCATTCCCACTCCCCAGACTACTCCGGTCAAGCGCAAGGCTGCTGCTGCCCGTACTCCTGGCTCGGCCAAGAAGACTAGGGGCAAGGCGGGCAAGGACGTGAAGAAGGAGGAGTCGGATGGGGAGAAGACGAAGAAGGGCGTCAAGAAGGAAGAGGATTCCGAGTCTGATCTCAGCGGTTGGTAGATTGGCGGGAATGCGGCGAGGTGAGGATCGTGCTAACCGATGGCGTAGATCCTCCCACTTCTGATGATATTGAAATATAAGGTCCTGGACTGGTTTGTTGGCACGGGGGGACATGGGCGACGCTTGGTGACGGGGCATGGGGACGAGTCCGCCATGGAATATTCGGGATACGTCGAGCTAGCACGGTGATGTTTCTCTAGACAGGAATTAAATGAGAATCGAGGTCTATTACATATTGCCGTTTTTCAGTGCAACCCAAGCTGGTGATGCCTAGTTGAGCAAGTATATCGGTGCTTGCAAGGAACCAACTTGGACGGCCTACGGGAAATATCAAATATTGAATTTGGGCTGGACGCAAGTGAGATGTGTTATATAGATATAGTTATGACGCGTACGGGAAAATCGGAAAATCTACATAGGGTGAGGCTGGCGCAAACGAGCAGACAAGCTCGACAGTTTTTGACACACCATGGGCGAAAAAGTCGACGAAGTGTGTGGATTTTGTGTGGCTGGGCTCCTGGTGACAAACATTCAAATTTATAAAATTTATTTATTTACACTAGATAGAAAATCCGGAGCTGGCTTAACACTTGCCTGCCAGCTGCGGCACCTGTTAACTCCTGGCTCGCAGCCGTGAGCTAGAAACGGTCAGCTGGTTACAAAGACCTTGAACACTGCCAAGCTCTCGCACTTTCTCCCTCCTCACAGCCCCCCAAATCTTGTCCGATGTTTACACCAGACCAAAAGGCTGAGCTCTAAAAACACCTAAGCATTTCTGTTTGTTTCCTCTGAATTCACTTCCTCATTTCTCGCTTATACCCTGCTACACGCACACATAAAATTGGGTATTCAGTGTTCACTGCTCGTCCACATCACCACATCTGCATTTCTTGTTGCCAACAGCTCACCTGACCAGAATCTTTTCTTCTTCCTTTCTCTTTCCTTGTGACTGGCCTCATTCATCTCACCAGAAGTTCACTTCTCGCCGCGAGTCGTTAATCTGCATTGATCCCAACCGACGCTTAGCTGACAAACGGATCGACCCTCTTGGCACATTTTCCTTTCCTATTGTTTTTTGTTATGGTCAACATGGTTGCCGCACCCGCCAGAAAAACAAATGCAAGCAAAAGCCGGTCCCCAGCCAAGGACCGCAGAGCGGTAAGCAGGACACAAAGTGCTGAAGCATCGCTTGTGTCATCAAGCGCTCCCAGCTCACCAGCCAAGACTGAGACGCCGAGAACTGCCCGCTATTCGCATCACCTTCCGACAGACCAGCAGCGAAAGGGGAATGGACGTGTTGCTGGCCGAAACCTGATTATGTGGAATCGTATGTCCTCGTCTCGCTAATGCCGTCTTCTTCTGTTCTATGGACGCATCTAACGGATTTGCAGGTCCACGAATGGCTGAGAAGCTGCTACTGCACATCCACTACGAGTGTAGTCGACACAAGCTCCAGCTGCCTTGGGATGCTATTGCTCATCGTTTCCATCCCGGATCGTCGGGAGCTGCCATAATTCAGCACATTAATCGTCTTCGCCGCGAGGTCCTGGTCGAAGGCCATCTCGTCCCGCCTCTCACTCAGAGGTCTACTGCGACACCGAATGATCCTAATCTCCGTGGATACGTCCGTAGAGACACCGAGGGCGACTACGTCGAGACAACTCGTCCGGTGTATTTTGACGAGAGACTTGACGACCCCAAGTTTAGTATCCCGGGTGACTTTCCCTTTAACGAAGAGTCAATGGAACCCGAGGTTGGACTGGGCACCTCTTCGACTGGCTCAGAGGAGGGAGACTACCGCCAGGACTCGCCCACTCCAATGACACGGAATAGCCTAAAATCGTCAAATGGCTCCATGGAATTTTATGAGACCCTTACGCCGCAATTCGTGGCCCCAATTGAAGTTGTGAGAGACACACGACCGCCCCATCTCCAACAGCACGTCTGTCATGAGGCAGTGGTAAGGCCCTAGAATATTAGAACATTCGCCAGTGGAGAGTACTCATGCTAATATTATTCAGGAAATGGAACCCACTCACAGCCGACACTTCTCGCATGAATCAGACTCTGGTACCAATCCCTTTAAAGGCACAGCTTCGCCCAACGAATCGTTTGAGACCGACATCTCGGCAATAACACCAGGGCACGTCGCCTTTCCCAGCGTGCCTCATCAACACACGAATCACGGTTACAGAATGGCTGCCCTGCAAAGCTGGTCGCACCCATTTATGTACCAAATGAGCCTACCACCAAAGATGCACTCGTCTGCTTTTAGCTTTGATCACCAGGACTGCTTACAGGCCTCTTTCCACATGGGGATGCCTTTTGCCATGACAAGCCCATATGAGCCGTACATGGCACTAGACCCAGGCCTCATGAAACAAGGCACTGCGCAGCCCGTTGCAATTGCTGCTGCCGCCGCAAAGGAGGGAGCAATGCAGGCTGAGCCGCCTACAGCTCACGGTGCACGAAATGGAGATCCATGCATTGGCGTGGCCGATGCGGACGAAACCAAGGTCGCGGATATTTCGACACCACTTACGTAGAACCAGGCAAGTATCTGAGCTCTTGATGGCTCGGTTGCAATGTAATGTCTTATGAATCATGAGTTAGCGGCATCATGTCGACGCTGGATACTCAGTGAGCGGTTGCAGCGCATCATTAATTTTTGGGCCAAAGGACGACCTTGGCGGTCATTGGGTAAAGCCTGCACGACGCGACAAAATTGCTCCAGCACTTTTCCAGCACAAATCTGAGGTAACGGGTACTTGCCCGCCTCCAAGTGTATTGAATAAGACGCAAGAATCTGAATGAGGAGCAATACAGCCATGTGAATTAGCTTGAGACGAGGTTGGGGACATAGAGAATCATTCAATTTAAAGTATAACTAGGTGCTCGATGCTCTGAAATTCGGATCGGTGGCCGGGGTCGTGTTTTCATGTGAGGATTGAAGTCGTTCGTGACCATGGGATTGGTGATGTGGAGTTTTGGCGAATCAACTGTCCAACATTTCGGCAACGGCGCCAGAACCTTCTCTGGGTCCGACGATTGCAGACTGGGGCGGTTCTGTGTAGCCCGGTTTGCGGACTGGGTGGTCTGCGGCGCGCGAAGCTGCCACTGCCGTCCTCCGTGGCAACAGGTTTTTCCGACCCTTGCCCGTGACAATTTTTTTGCGGGTGCCAACACCTCCAATTACAACCAAGACCGCAGATCCAACCTCCCTCTCCTTGGTTCCCCCAGACCTCTGACCAAAAGCTGCTTCCCGCCAGCTACATCCTGCATCACTTGTCCCTTTCCTCCTTGTACTTTAATACCCCCCCTTCTTCTCTTTTAATATATACAAGATGCAGCGTGCATTGAGCTCACGGGCGCGGGCTACGGCTCTGTCCTCTGCTGCCTCCCGCTACCGCGCCGGTGCCGGTCTTGGTCAGCAGCTCCGATTTGCTCACAAGGTGAGAAGGACGCGAGCTCCAATCGTCGAAATAGAGTGTCAACGTGTCTAACTAGTGTTGCAGGAGCTCAAGTTTGGCGTCGAGGGTCGTGCTGCTCTCCTGGCTGGTGTTGAAACCTTGGCCAAGGCTGTCGCTACTACTCTGGGACCCAAGGGCCGAAATGTCCTCATCGAGTCCAGCTTCGGCTCCCCCAAGATCACAAAGGGTGCGTCGTGCCTCCCTCTCTACAAGTCGCGCCACGGGATTTTAGCTAATACGACAATTTTTCACAGATGGCGTTACCGTTGCCAAGGCCGTCTCTCTAAAGGACAAGTTTGAGAACCTCGGCGCCCGTTTACTCCAGGACGTGGCCTCCAAGACCAACGATGTCGCTGGTGACGGTACCACGACCGCTACCGTCCTCGCCCGGGCCATCTTCTCCGAGACGGTAAAGAACGTGGCTGCCGGCTGCAACCCCATGGATCTCCGCCGTGGTATCCAGGCTGCCGTTGACTCTGTTGTTGAGTACCTCCACAAGCACAAGCGCGACATTACCACCAGCGCCGAGATCGCCCAGGTCGCCACCATTTCTGCCAACGGCGACCACCACGTCGGCCAGATGATTGCCAATGCCATGGAGAAGGTTGGCAAGGAGGGCGTCATCACCGTCAAGGAGGGCAAGACCATGCAGGACGAGCTCGAGGTTACCGAGGGCATGCGCTTCGACCGAGGTTTCGTCTCCCCCTACTTCATCACCGACACCAAGGCCCAAAAGGTCGAGTTCGAGAACCCCCTGATTCTCCTCTCCGAGAAGAAGATCTCTGCTGTCCAGGACATCATCCCTGCTCTGGAAATCTCCACGCAGACCCGCCGCCCTCTTGTCATCATTGCCGAGGACATTGACGGCGAGGCCCTTGCCGTCTGCATCCTGAACAAGCTCCGTGGCCAGCTCCAGGTTGCCGCTGTCAAGGCTCCCGGCTTTGGCGACAACCGAAAGTCCATTCTCGGTGACATTGGTGTCCTGACCAAGGGCACCGTCTTCACCGACGAGCTCGACATCAAGCTCGAAAAGGCCACCATTGACATGCTCGGCTCCACCGGCTCCATCACCATCACCAAGGAGGACACCATCGTCCTCAACGGCGAGGGTTCCAAGGACGCCATCTCTCAGCGCTGCGAGCAGATCCGCGGTGTCGCCGCTGACCCCACCACCTCCGAGTACGAGAAGGAGAAGCTCCAGGAGCGTCTTGCCAAGCTCTCTGGCGGCGTCGCTGTCATCAAGGTTGGTGGCTCCTCCGAGGTCGAGGTCGGCGAGAAGAAGGATCGATTTGTCGATGCCCTCAACGCCACCCGTGCTGCCGTCGAGGAGGGTATCCTGCCCGGTGGTGGTACTGCCCTGATCAAGGCCTCTGCCCAGGCTCTGGGAGACGTCAAGGCGGCCAACTTTGACCAGCGGCTCGGCGTCAACATTGTCAAGAACGCCATCACCCGCCCTGCCCGCACCATTATCGAGAACGCTGGCCTGGAGGGTTCCGTTGTCATTGGCAAGCTCACCGATGAGCACGCCGCCGACTTCAACCGGGGCTTTGACAGCGCCAAGGGCGAGTACGTTGACATGATTGAGTCCGGTATCCTCGACCCTCTCAAGGTTGTCCGCACCGGTCTCATTGACGCCAGCGGTGTTGCTTCCCTGCTGGGCACCACCGAGGTTGCCATTGTTGAGTCCCCTGATGAGAAGGGTCCCGCCGGTCCCCCCATGGGAGGCATGGGCGGCATGGGAGGTATGGGAATGATGTAAGATGGACGAATTCAAGAGGATGAAATTGCCATTTCTGGCGTTGTACAAAAAAACCAATTGGGCATGGATTTGGTGTTGGTAGAAGAACAAAAAGACAGATGGATCAAGTGATCTGGCACGATCTCCTCTCTACATGTCGGCATGTATTTTTTTTTCATACCCCTGCAGATTTCTCAACCAGCCCGGACTCTATGTATAATAGCAAGTAGCGCTTGGCCATGTAAAACAGTTAAAAAAAACCCTAACAACCAAGGGACGAATTATGCACACATCTGTGATTTTGAAGCTGTAGAGTCAAACAATTTAGTTGCCTTGAGGCAGCGAGTTTGCAATTGCGCTAGCTGCCGAGTGAGACGGCAAGATTTGGAAGCCTGATGGGATTCGTCATCGTAGCAATTATCTCGGTGCCTACCTAATCTTTTGTAGCTCTCCCGGGTAGGCATGGGGAGGAAGCCAGGGTGAGGGATCGTTTTCGTTGCCGTGGCAGAACAGAGAGTCATGCTGTTGGTTCATGCACCACGGCTTCTAGAGCTACCTCAGTACCGCAGTGGTCAACAGTCAAGACAGCGTGAGCGTGGCTGTCAAGTACGTCAAGGTTCTGTTGCAGACCATAATTAGTCCGGCGGACAAAGTCAAACAAGGCGAATACCAAGTCATTGTCCGAAGCATCTGCTCCGTAGTTACACATGTATTCACTCTGGTGCAGGGAAGCTGGAGCTTGGCCCAGTCACGTGGAGGCACGGCCACCCCACGGCCAACCCCACCATGATGATGTGGTCTGGTGTTTTTTCTCGCATGCTCTGGGCCCCTCCACCCGAGCATGCAACATCGCACGCCTTGGTCTTCTGGTCCCCATCCCGTACTTTCCTGCCATTATCCTCCAACAAACAAAGCCGCCCTCCTTGCCTTTGCATCGCGACACCGCACATTTGCCTGGTCGCTCTTCTGATGTAAGCCCAAGTTGCCTCCCCCCGCGGCTTAAATACTCGAGTAGTTGCCTGCAACTCCGTCGCCGCACTCTTCTTTTCCCTCTCTTTGTTTTTGTTGTTGGTTAAGCCAAAAAGCTGACGAGCTCTTTCCCTCAGCCTTCCTCCCCCGCCCCTCATTCGCGCACCCCGTCTCCTGACCTTGACCGCAATCATGGTGAGTTTCCGCCACGACGGCCCTGCGCGATACTGGTTGCTGACTTTTTTGTTTCCCCCTTCCCAGTCTCAATCCGGGTTCGTAACTGTCCTCGATATATTTCTCTTGAATTTCGAGTTTGCCGTTGCTGCAATCTGCGGCACCCGCACCCCCCCTATGACGATGGTGTGCCCCGCCGACCTTGGAGGGGGGTTTGCGCACAAAGGAAGAGCCACGATTGACAGTAGGGATTGCTGCTAACAACTTTGGCGCCCGTGTAGAGCGACCGTTTCGCAGGAATGCATAACTGCCTACAATGACTTGAAGCTGTCCAAGAAGTACAAGTACATCATCTTCAAGCTCTCGGACGACTTCAAGGAGATTGTCATTGAGGAGGCTTCCGACGACAAGGACTGGGACAACTTCCGAGAGAAGCTCATCAAGTCTACCACCAAGAACAAGTCTGTGAGTGGTGATTCGAGTTGCCTCTCTTTTGCAATGAAATGGTGCGCTAACTTTTGCCAGGGTGTCGTTGGAAAGGGCTGCCGATACGCCGTCTACGATTTTGAGTACAGCCTGGCCACCGGCGATGGTGTCCGGTATGCTTTGTTCTTTTTTTAACAGTTTACAATCGTGAGAATCACGCTAACTGATTGCAGAAACAAAATCACCTTTATTGCCTGGTCCCCCGATGATGCCGGCGTTCAGGTAACCTGCCACCATCCCCGACCCCACCTCTGAGCCACCAGCTGACGACCATGACCACGCAGCCCAAGATGATCTACGCTTCCTCCAAGGAGGCCCTCAAGCGATCCCTCACCGGAATTGCTACTGAGCTGCAGGCCAATGACGCCGATGACATTGAGCACGACACCATCGTCAAGACTGTCAGCAAGGGTCTTGCCGGTTAAGCATGGTGTCTTGTTGTGTTTTCTTTTGCCTTGTATCTTTCTTTGTATGTTGCGACGTGACAACAAACGTGCAGGAAGGGGAAGAAAAGTCTCTGGGCACGCCGCCTTTTTACGAGCGCATGAATTGAGAATCATTGCTACCCAAATGGCTTATCTTTAACCGACCCATTTCACCCGCCCCTTTCATCTACTGGAAAAGGAAAACAAAAAGCCAACCCGAGTTGTGACGCGAAAAGAAAAGAGACGACGGCGATGGTGGAGGATTTTAAACATGATGGATGCAACTTATACAATGGTGACCCATGCATTGGAATTCTTCATGTCGGTGGAGACTCGTAGCTGCTAGATGTGTGAGTCTTGGTGATATCAACGCCATAGGAAGAAAGAAATGAAATCACGCTGGATGTGCAACATGGGTGACTTGGCTTGCCCCAACGTCATTGCAGCCCAGCCCCTTGGTGTGCATCGTTCCATGCTCATCGTATTGACACGTTTTAATACCGACATGTACTATTTCCCGTCTTGGCCATCATACGGTCATGCAGTGGAATCAAAGTCACGGTCCGGAACGACTAGACTCCCAGCTCCGCTGAAACAAGGTCCCCAACTCGGCGGCTGCGGCCTCGTCCTTGAGCCGCTGCTGCAGGAACCCCTTCAGATCGTCCCAAAAGGCATCCGTCGTCAGCGCGTCCCACCCGCTGGCCTTGGCCGGCGCGTCCTCTCTGCTCTCGGGCTGTATGGCCGCCGCGCCGCCCATCACCATGACGGAAAAGTCGACCCGCAGCTCCGAGGCGCCCGCCACGTCCTTGAGGACCTTGCTGTCCGTCAGCGGCCGCTTGTTGTGCAGAATCTTCATCTTTTCGACTGGTATCCTCGTCTGTTGTGCGACCTTGGTCTTGATGTCGAGGATGGATGTGTTGAGCGGCTGCGAGGTGAGCTTTAGGTCCAGCGGCGGGTTGCGCAGGGACTTGAGGGTCACGGTGAGGCTGCGCTCTTGGCCGGGGAGCAGGGTCTTGGGCTTGCTCATGGGGCTGGGCATCCGTGGGAGGATGTACTGCTCTTGTTAGCTGGGAATGGGGAACCAGTGGGGAGGGAGAGGGCGACGTACGGGCGGACGCGGGGGAAAGGATTTGGCATCTTCGACGTGGTCTGCGGAGAGCTTGATTGGGCGGGAGTCGAGGGTTGAGAGGAACGTTTTGGCGAATGCTGCTTCCGCCATGGTGGGTGGTTTCCGTGACTTGTTGTAAATTCGGGGTAGTTGAACGGACTGGGCGAGGGGTGCTCTGTACAGTCGTGTAAATGGTGATGCGCCACGAGCTGAGTGTTGGCGTAGTCGAGGTGGGAGCTTGGAGCGTGTTAGGTAAGCAGTGGGGCTGTGCAGACGGCGGCGACGACAACCAGCGACGACATGTATCCGTGGTAGTTGCATCTTCCTTTTTCTTTCTTCATTGAACAAGCGTGAACAAGCATGGAAATTGTTTCTCATCTATAATTAGCAAAGCACTGATTAGTATTTACATTGTACATGAGAATTGCGCTCCAACCTGATGAGTAAAGCCAGTGGCCGTGGCTGGTACCCCGATACGAAGTTTTACCGGCCAAAGACCATCTTATCGTAGTCTCGAAGAAAAAAAAGTTGGGCGGGGCGCGCATGTTCTTGTACCTGCACTGAGCCGTCGCCGTTTCTTTGCACGGCCAATTCCTTTCCCAACACTTTTTAAAAAAACAGAAAACAAAAGTCACACAAAATGGGCGCCGGAAGACGGATGAAGAGAAAGCAGGGTGCCCCTGAACCCTTATCAGAAGCACACTACGCAAAACTGAAGCGCAAGGCCGGTCTGCCAGTCGACACTCCTACAGAAGCACCTGACAACAAGAGAAGACGAACCGGGAAGAATGGACAGCCCAAAGCAAATGGAGCCTCAGTAAAGAAGGCGGCCGCCGCGCCCAAGAAATCCAACGGCGACAAGCCAGCAAAGCCAAAGCCCGGCAGCAAGTCAAAAGCCAAGCCTGTCATGCCAGGCCTGGACGACAGCGACGTTGAGCTCGAGGACGATGAGTTTGACGCAGCGGAGTTGGACATTGAGAAATTATCCGACCTTGAAGAGGAAGAAGGCGAGGGCGCGACGCTGGGCGACGACTTTTTGGGCTCGGATTCATCCGTGTTGGACTCGGACGACGAGAATGACGTCGGAAAGGCCATGTTTTCTGAAGATGAAGACGAGTCCGACGCAGAGGAGAAGCTCACGGCCGCCAATATCGACGGACTCTCGAGGAAACTGGACCGCAAGCTGGCCGAGGAAGCGGCTGCCAACGCGGCAGAGATGGCTGAGAGCGCACTGCAAACCAACATTGACGGCGACAAACCGCACATTATTGACGACGAGGACGACGAGCTGTCCGCCAAGACAAGTGCCCTCCTCGCCCCGGATCTGCAGCTGCTCCGGACGAGAATCACCGAAAACATTCGCGTGCTCGACGACTTTGCCAACCTTGCCGAGGATGGGCGCTCGCGATCCGAGTACACTGCGCAGTTGATCAAGGATGTGTGCGCGTACTATGGCTACTCCGAGTATCTCGCCGAAAAGCTATACAACCTCTTCACACCCCGCGAGGCATTTGCCTTTTTCGAAGCCAACGAGACGGCGCGCCCCGTCGTCATCCGCACAAACACACTCCGCACCCACCGCCGCGATCTGGCGCAGGCTCTCATCAACCGCGGCGTGACCCTCGAGCCGGTCGGCAAGTGGTCCAAGGTTGGCCTGCAAGTCTTTGAGAGCAGCGTGCCCCTCGGTGCCACGCCCGAGTACCTCGCCGGCCACTACATCCTGCAGGCTGCCTCGTCCTTTTTGCCCTGCATGGCGCTTGATCCCCAGGAAAACGAGCGCGTGCTCGACATGGCCGCCGCCCCCGGTGGCAAGACAACCTACATGGCGGCCATGATGAAGAACACGGGCGTCATCATCGCCAACGACCCCAACAAGGCCCGTGCAAAGGGTCTCATTGGCAACATTCACCGCCTCGGCGCACGCAACGTCATTGTCTCCAACTACGACGCCCGCGAATTCCCCAAGCCCATGGGCGGGTTTGACCGCGTTCTCCTCGACGCCCCCTGTTCCGGAACAGGCGTCATCGCCAAGGACCCCAGCGTCAAGACCAACAAGACGGAGCTCGACTTCATGCAGCTCCCGCACACGCAGAAGCAGCTGCTCCTCGCGGCCATTGACTCGGTCAACCACTCCAGCAAGTCGGGCGGGTACATTGTCTACTCGACGTGCTCGGTGACTATTGAAGAAAACGAACAGGTCGTCCAGTACGCGCTCAGGCGCAGGCCCAACGTCAAGCTCGTCGACACGGGGCTGGCATTTGGCAAGGAAGGATTCACAAGCTTCATGGGCAAGAAGTTTGACCCCAGCCTCCGCCTCACAAGGAGGTACTATCCGCACGCGTACAACGTCGACGGCTTCTACGTCGCCAAGTTTAAGAAGATTGGTCCCACGCCCGCCCAGGCGCCCCGGGATAACACGCGCGCCGCACGCGACGCCGAGGACGTTGTTGACAAGACGCCCATTCCTGCGGATGACGAGGACGCCGGCAAAGACGACGATTTCGGCGGCTGGGACGAGGACGAGGACAACGAGTACATGGAGAAGGGGCGGAGAAACGCCATGCGCAGACGGGGCTTGGATCCCAGGAGTGGTGCCAAGTCGAACAAGGGGTCGAAATGATGTGATTGAGTTTTTTAGAGTTTAATGTATGGCACAGGAGTCAAAAATGGCATTCTTCTTTTCGTGCGATTTGATGTATTTTTTTTGCCTTTCGGTTTGTCGCCCACGTCTTGGCTGAGCGTACCGTTTTCTTGCTAGACACTCCTGAAGACGACAAATATGTAAAATTCACACCTATACCCGGCTCTGCTCGGCCCATTAACACGGTGATAGCTTTTTAGTACTCCGTAGGGCGGATTATATTATTGTCTGGGAAGACAATTTTGTCGTCGGAACCTAAACATTTGAGCGGCGGCACAATTTCCTTTAGGGGCGCGTTTGACGTTTTCCATGGCCGCCTGGAATACGCATCGAGAGCAGCGGCAAGACGTGAGCTGAGGCTGTCCTTGCTAGTCGCCGTCGAGGTCAAGCTGGTGCCGCATGTAGTTGTGCCTCTCTTGGTTGTCCTTTTTCTGTTTTGCTCTACTGCCAGGTTTATAAGTAAAATGCGCACCAGAACAGGTACATATGACCACAGCCGCCAGCAAAAATCACGATCCCGTCCGATCTCGTACGACAAACTGGCGAGCGCCAGATTAGTAGTTGGGTCGGTGACGACCAGCGAATACCTGGTGTTATATGTTTTTTTTTGGTTCAAAATAGTGGCACCACGTCGGGGTTTTGTCGGGTACCTCGCTCGTGTGCACGGTCCACCAAGCGCGGCCTGAACTGGAGTGCGCATATCCCTCCTGAATTTTTAATACCAGTAGTACCGGCTTGTCGTGTTCTTTTCCTGGGTCTAAGGATCTTTTTTTCTTTTTTTAAAACTCCAATACTTTTTGCATGATGCCAGTACTACTATCTGCGTTGAAAAAAAAAACTTGATATATATATTAAAGAGAATAACCGTACTAGCCGTCGTCACGTAAAACAATGAAAAGAGTTGCATTTAGACGTGTGTTTGCTTTCGGCGCCGCTGGCCTCAAACACACGACGCCGCACACTGCACGCCGACGACTTCAGTACCCCTTCATCACAGCCAAACTCGCGTGCAACACAATAATGTTATTAAGCCACAGCATGCTACCAATGCAGACAGTTCATCAAGCATCATAAATCCGTCATCTCGGTCGTAAAAAGGCCACAGCGCGACTCACACCGCACAATCGCTGGAATCCTCCCAAGCATGGCCCACCACATCCTTTTTGTCTATTGCCCAGGATAAAAAAAACACAATAATCCGTCTTGACCCGACCCCATTCTTGTTTGGCAATGAGAATAAAACAAACAAATGTCCCTTTTTGTACAACAGGCTTCCGTCCACCACAGATACAATGTTGTCCACCCACCTTCGCTATTGGCCCAACTCGACGCCCTTGTTCCTGTTCTGTAATCCTGGGGGTACTGTGCTCCAAACAGCCGACATGTCTGAAAAGATAACAATCGCCGCGGTAGATGCTGTATTGTCTACATGGGTAGCTCGTCAAACTGAGAGACGAGTTCCCGGATCGTCCAGCGCCACATCTCTTGATCTCTTGGCCCGCGGCCAACCCACTTCTCGCACTTCTTTCGCCATCGCTCTTCCTCTTCACGCTGTCTTCTGACAAACTCGGGCCCAACGTCAAACTCTTCGCCCACGAGCCAGTCATCCTTGACGTCGCTGACGCGGCCGCCCTCTCCGCGGTCTTCTTCAGCCGCGTTATCGTCCAGGTCGGGAATGTCTTTGAATACATCCTCGTCGTCGTCAAGTGCATCAAAGCCATCCAGGGTATCGCCCGCGTCCGACTTGGTCTTGTCCTGCTGCCCCATCCTGAGCCAGCACATGTTTTCCGGATCAAAGACCATGCCGCCGACAACTTGGACGCCTTTGGTCGCGCTGAAATTGGCAATCAGCGCAGGCCGAGGAGTGGTTGCCTCCCGTTCACGCGTGACGTGCGTCGACGCAGTGGTGGTCGACGGGGTGGCCACTGTGGCATCGAATGCATTCAGGACATTCTCATTCCCTTCCCAGCGGAACGTCTCGGCATTGTAAAACATGCCATTCACGACTTTGGACTCCTTGCCGGCGTTGAGGTTGGCAATGAGGTGCGGCTTCAGCTGCTGCGGTCGCTTCGTCTTCTTCTTGGAGCGAATGGTTGATTGAGGGAGATGGGGCTGATGGCCCACGTTGGTCGTCCTTGAGGTGAGCGCACTACCGCCACCACCACCACCTTCTCGCTGGGCGGTTATGGCAGACAAAGGACCGTGGCTTGGCGCACGGTGAGCCAGAGACGTCTCTCGGGCAATTCGACTTGCGGCAGTGTCGCGCGCAAATCGGGGGGTTGCCGCGGATTTCAACGGGAAAAACGGACTCGGCGGTGCCGGCGTCGCGGTCCTGTCGGGCAGAATGTTCTGGTACAGCCGATTTCGAATGGTGGTCTTGGTGCCGCTGGCCACGGGCTGCTTCATGAATCGCGTCTCCGTCTCTCGCGACGTGGGCAAGTCATCAAAGCCGTCGAGCTCATGACCATCA